TAAAGAGTTGTTCATTCTTGAACTGCACTAATTAGTGACACTGGTTTCATCTACAGTGTTTAAACCAACATTTTATTACGTTTCTGTGTCTCTCTTCCTGTTTGATTCTCCGGCAGGCAAACAGAGAGTGGCAGTGTAAGTGGCAGCAGTTATTCTGGCTCCAGCTCACGCTCAAGATCCCGTTCCTCCTCCGCCTCACTCTCCCGGTCCCGTTGCGGGTCCCACAAGTCTAGGTATGCAATGCACAGAGACAGTAGAGTCCAAAGGAAAAAATTTCCAATTCTAAAAAAAATCAAATGCAGATATCATGGAATCACAAGATTGTCTGTGTGGTTTCACAGGTCTCTGTCGGTCAGTAGCGTGTCATCTGTCTCATCCGCCTCCTCCAGTAGTAGCTCAGTCAGGAGTGCCGACTCTGATGACATGTATGCTGACCTGGCCAGCCCCGTGTCCTCCGCCAGCTCCCAATCACCCACTCCAGGCCATGCCCGCAAGGAAAGGGGCCCTCCTCGGGACAAGGGCCCCAACAAAGACAGAGGTACTGTGGACTTGTCGCATGTGACTCCAACATGCCATTAATCTAATTTTAAAGGGGTCATATGATGCGATTTCAAGTTTTCCTTTCTCTTTGGAGTGTTACAACGCTCAAGATCCCGTTCCTCCTCCGCCTCACTCTCCCGGTCTCGTTCCGGCTCCCACAAATCTAGGTATGCAATGCACAGAGACAGTCGAAAAAACAAATCTATCTTTACCTGTTCTCGTAATTAAAAGATCAAATGCAAATGTCATGGTGTCACAGATTTTCTGTGTGGTTTCACAGGTCTCTGTCGGTCAGTAGCGTGTCGTCTGTCTCATCCGCCTCCTCCAGCAGTAGCTCAGTCAGGAGTGCCGACTCTGATGACATGTACGCTGACCTGGCCAGCCCTGTGTCCTCCGCCAGCTCCCGATCAGCCACTCCAGGCCTTGCCCGCAAGGAAAGGGGCCCTCCACGGGACAGGGGACCCAACAAAGACAGAGGTACTGTGGCCTTGTCGGATAAGACTCACACAGGCCGTTAATAGAATTTTAACATTACTCTTTTGAAGTGGTGTTATTGTGAACTAAAAATCATGAACCGAAATGAAGCCTCTGTGAAATAAAATATAAATGTTACATGAAAAACTTAGTTAGAAAATACAGAAATGTTGCCTTTTCTACAACTGAAATAAAAATAAACCTAAACAGAAATATATAAACTTATTGAGACGCACATAAACTGAAATAAAAGGAGAACTGTAAATTTAAAATAACAGTAAGTCAAAATATTATTAAATACTTATAATATAGTTAATATTACTAAAGTAACAGTGCTGTTTTGTTTGGTGTGCCTTAAAGGAAAACCGCCAAAGAAAGACGAGCCTTTCAAAGATGAGCGAAAACGAGTGGACCCCTCCGGTCTCCCTCCCAAAACCAGCTCGGGCATGCCTAGATCCGGAAACCGAGGTCACCCCATGCACCCGCCTCCTATGGGTCCTCCAGGAGGATACGGCTCTCACAAGGACATCAAACTCACCCTGCTCAACAAGGTAAATGGGGAAGGTGTCGTTTACGGTCATGTAGCTGCTCAGAAGTATACGATGGTTGAGTGACTTCTTTATTCCTCTTTGGCCAGCAGCAAACCGACAGGGGCAATAGGAAAAGGTACTTTCCTGCCAATAAAGAGCGACCCCCTTCGCCTCTCAGCAAGAGGATAGCGCTTTCGCCTGACAGAGGTAAACAACACAACATGGCACATTAACTGTCCATTAGAAAACCCCTCCAGAAAAACTGTTGTGGTTAAGCTCTTTCCTCAAAGGATGTCCGGAAGTTCAGTCAGATGTGCCCCTCGCAGCGATCTCCTCAAGCTTTACTCTCTGATATCTCCGTAGGTCGAGACAGGAGGATGCCCGGCCGACCCTTGCTGTCCCCCAGAATGGATCGGCCCAAAGGACAGGGTCCTCGGCCCATGCCACCACAAGGAGAAAGGTACCCATTGCCACTTTTTTCAGTCACACTTTCTGAATATCCCTTCAAATATGTGGTGATTTCCAGTAGTCAACTGATAAGTTCATGTAGGAAAAATTATTTAAATGAATTTAAATTGGTTGATTAGATTTGTATGCCTGAGAACTATTAACTGCCCTTTAATATGGGTCTGTTTGTATAAATAAGAGTTCTCATATTCTGTATGTTGAGAGTAGTGATTGTGAGTATTAATCTAGCTTTTATAAAAAAAGTAAATAAAAATCCCCATGTTTGTTCAGCATTAGTTCCCTTTTTATGTGCATGGTGGATCAAGGTGTTTTATAACAAAAGCTTTATCTTTGTGTGACTAAGACTAGAGATTTAAAAATATCCCAGGTTTGTAATTCACTCGATTCCTTATATTTTCTCTCTCCAGGAAGCGTCCTTTATCTCCACCACCCAAGTCTTCTGGGAAAGGTCCTGCTGCTGTGTCTGCAGGTAAACCACCTGCTCCCGGGGCTGGATCCGGCTCTGGCTCCGCTTCTAGTTCCGGATCGGGCAAGCCGAGCAGCACCCTTTCTCGTCGTGAGGAGCTGCTGAAACAGTTAAAGGCTGTCGAGGACGCCATAGCCCGCAAAAGGGCCAAAATCCCTGGGAAATGATTAACTTCTGGGACATCTGTTTTCTCGACGCCCAGTGTTTGCCAGAAATGGGAAATGGTCGCTGTTCTGAACTCTAAGGGCGTAAATGTCCTAGGGAAAGGAGACTGCCGTTACATTTCTGCTTGTTTTGCCCTCAGACAGAGGTTGTCTAGATTTTATATTGATGTGATAAAGTTGAGAAGTGGCCCTGTTCACTTGTTTGTTTTTGCAGGAAGATGGAATCTTTGCTGTAGTGCGTCTCAAAGATTAAAAAAACTGTACATTAAGCGCACATTTTTGCTCTTCATCCTGCCACACTTCTCTTCACTTCTCTCTCATATTCTAGTTGCTTTAACTCCCCACTCCTGTTACTTTATGTGCTGCGTTGCGGTGTGACAGACGTATGCTTAATCTGATTGGACCATCCTGGACGCATCTGCGCATTTGACGTTGATCCTACTCAAACAATCTGGAACTGCCTTTTCATAACCTTACAGTTAGGAAAGTCCACCTTGAGCAATGTATTTGTCTATCCACCATCACGTGTTTAGCTGTTTTTCACAATGTACAACTACAAAGTCAGGTGACAGAATACCTGTTGCTTAAAGTGTATGATTCTAGAGAACCAATGACAGTGATGTGAAGTATTGCTTTTTTTAAGATTCTGCATTGTTTCGCCTAGCTTTTCAAGTGAAAACCTGCATTTTATTTGTCCCTCATTTTTAGTTGAAAGTGTGAGAGGCTGCACGGAGATAAAGAATAATTCCGTCTTGCTTTTTGTGACAGAAAAAAGGCTTCTAAATAAACTATTTTGATAAAGATAAATCTGTTGAAATGATTCCTCTTTAATGGAAAGATTGCATCTAATGGAATACTTTTCCATCTGTGCATATATGAAGGTCTGATGCTCTACTTTGTTTCTCCAGAGCATGTGCACTGGTTTGTGTGGGTTTATTTTATTGCTTAGCCCTGTTTGTTGATCCATTATCCTGCTTAGAATCAATACCTACAGCAAATTAGTGAGATCATTTATTGACATGGTTGGAACGTTATTCATCTTCCGTTGGTTGTGCTTTTAAACGTCATAAGTTGTAGGAGTTAAATAATCTTCAATGCTCTTCTATGATACACCCACATTCTTTCATAAGTCATTTTAAAGGATTAAGCTGTCATGATTTGTACAATAATTAGTGTTGTGCACTTCTGCTTTTGTGTCCGTGTAGCTGAATAGAATACAAATAACTGATGACTTCAAACTATTGGGTCATTGTATAAAAAATAAGTTTAGTATAAAAAAATTTAAATGGTTCATTAATAAATATTAGAATGTTAAATAAATATTAGAAAGTAAATGTGCAGTCTGCTATGAATAATACTTATATAAAAATATGTATATGCTGATTATTACAATTTCTGTCAGAATGTGAGTGAAATTTATCGTCACCATGTGTGATTGATCGTCAAAATTATCAGTTTCACATTTTCTGTAGAATGTATAGAATTTATGCATGATGCTTGGGGGACTCCTGGGGAGATGTTTTTCAGATTGGCTGATCTGATGATGCTGGGAAATTCACTTGGTCTTGTCCCGTGATGGCAACCCCACAGGCAGCCAAATCTGCTATCAACCGCTCATTTTAGTCAATAAAAATGACCTGTTCTTGAGGGTTCTTTTGTCATGTCCAAAACATCCAGGGGGCTCCCATAATTTATCTCCACATTTACTCTTCCAGGGATTTGAAAAGGTCACAACATGCTCAAAAAAGGGGGAATTTTCTCCATCTGAAGCAGAATATTGGTGATACCTCTTCATGTTAAATAATGTTGTTAGCTTTGGGCTTGGTGAAATGCAAGGTAAGTTTGGTAAATGTGTTGTGTGTGTAACAGATCTAGGGGTTGTCTTGCAACACTTCTCTGTAATATTAATGGAGCTGTTAACTATGGGGACTTACATCTCTTCTTTCCTATCAAAGAAGACAATGTTGAAGTATTAATGACTATTAAGTACGGCATTTAATGAATGAAATATTTTACTGATCACTTCAGGATCAGGAAAAAAATGGATTACTGGTCATATGAGAGAATAAACGTCCACTTGCCCATTCAGATATCACAGATCTGTGATCTGTTAAAACTGAAATCGTTTTACAGACTGATTAATAATGAAAAGACTAAAAAAAAAGTGAATTTTTTTCCAGGTAGCATGCAATATAATGCGCTTGTGTATGTAGCGCTTCATTTGAAAGAGGAAGTACGGAAGTAAATATTTATTACTATTTCCTCATAGACTCGGATTTTCCCTGATGATGGATACAACAGGTAGGCCTATATAAATTCGCGTTAGCACTTCAGGAAAAGTATAAGAGTCAGGCCCGGCACAACCTGAGCACTAAACTTGAGCATCACTGCGGGTCAACGGAGTTTTAATAGCCTAATAAACCTTGAACAAATTATGTGGGTAAGTAGAAAAAATGTTTTATGTAGGCTAAGTAGATACATATTTCACGAAGTAATGGACATCTTAATCTATAAAAAAAATTATAATGTTCTTTTTTGCACTCTGCTTATTTTATTTATCTGTTTGTTCTTTATCTTGCAGTCTCCGCTGTTTTTTGGAATATTTTTCTTCTTCTTGTCGGAGAGCATCGTGAATGGAAAGAATCTGGGATGTTTCGGTGAATGTGAACATGGGTTCAGCAAGATTCACAACAAGCTACTTCAGTCTTTGCACGCACACAGACACCAGCGTCTCCGGGCCGTCCATCATCAGGCGAACTCCTGTGAAGATTTCGCTCGGGCTTCATCAGCAGCGCTCAATGATCGCTCACTGTCCCCCTGGCGGATAAGGTAGATATAGCGCTCTAAATTATGGTATGATTTTAACAAAACCATAGAAATCAGAACCCTGCAAAAAGGTGCTGATGACGTAATCGAACCGTACTTCCTATAATTTTAAACATTTGATTTAAACGTTTGAATATTTTGCAGTAAATATATATTTTTGATACATGGCCTACTTTTATATGTACGTTCAGAAATAGTTTAATATTGTAGCTATCGTTTTTATTCGATTAGCCTACGTCATTTTCAGTGCATCATGCGCTGCGTAGTTGCCTCATAAGAGTTCGTCTTGTACTTTAGTTTTTTCTCTAATTTTCAAAACCTTTTATAATTTTTATTTTTTTTTTGCTTCAAAGGAAAGTTTGTAATGTTGCAATTAACTGAGAAGCTGACTATGTGAATTTATAGGCCTATTTATTTGTATGCCATATTTATTTTGGGGGGGAAAAAATGAATAAAAAGCCTTCAGATCAAAGCTGTTGAAAGCATTATGAGGCATGTTTAGTAGCCTAGTGTTTAAATAATAATACAAAATCATAAAATAAAACAAGTGTGTAAATGTGATATCTATTTAACCAATTTCAGTGACTTGTTACATGAATAATGTATCTTTATCTCTTGTATTTTCAGAACAGTGGAAAATACAGACATGTACCCCTCAAAATACGAGGAGGCAGAGTGTCTGTGTAATGGATGCATCATTAACGGGGTTGAAAATAGGACCTACAACTCAGTGCCTGTGAAGCAGACTCGCTTATTCCTGAAGAAGGTTCCTTGCCCGTCTGACCCGAAAAAATACTCCTTAGAGTATAAACTTGTGACAGTGACTGTAGCCTGTACCTGTGCAGTTCCTCAGCAGTAAGAGAGGATAGGCTACTATATAGACCAAGATTGTAGAGACATGTCTCATGTACCATGTTGTGTTTGTTTTAAAATGCAATTTTTTATAAGGTACTTACATTGTTTGATATGCTTATATTTATAAGCTGAAAAGTTGCATGTGTCACATGGTTTATTTTTTAAGCTTACAAACCAACATAATCTTTCTTGAAAGGAAGATGTATTTGTATTACTGTAAAACACTACTTTATTTAGACTTTATTTATTTATATGATAATAACTTATTTACTATTTATTTAACTTATGTAGCCTAAATTATGCAAATATGTGAACTTTTGATCTTGCGCCTTCCTGTCCTTGTTTGAATCAGGTGTGAAATTCAGCTCTGTCAGTGACAGGAATGGTTATATTAAGTTTGTTTCAGTGATAACGATAAAATGTATTCGTATGTTTTTTTCCCCTCAACTTTGCATTTTGTCCAGATGGTATTATATTCATGTTGTGTAAAACAAAAATAAAGTCTATGCTGATCTTCACTCATTCATTTGTCCATATCTGTAAATTCCTCTGTGGGTAAATTTCAAACACACCTGAATGATATTTCACCACAGAATGAATGAATAAATAAATAGTAGCATTCTTCTGAATACTGTTTTGCAAAAAAATACTAATATAGCCTATTAGTTAAAATAAAGTGTTTATAAATTATGGTAGCATTTGTTTTAGTGCCTTTATGCAGAAGTATAGGCTATAGTATAATAACTAACCTCCTTTTGAGATTACAGAGATTTCCTGAAAATTTAAAATGTGGATGATAATTGTCATAAAAATGATTGGCAGTGTAATATATATATTTATATATATAGAGAGAGAGAGAGAGAGTGGCTTTTAATTTGTCGGACTTTGTGGGACTTTTATTTTGAAAGGCTTCTACCGTATTCACGTTAAAGCATTGCGACAAAGTAGACAACACATTGATACCTCATGTATTTCTTGAATGTAGCAAGTATGAACAAGAAAGAAGAAAAATGATAGTAGAAATAAGGAAAAATGGAATTCAGGATCTTAATTTTAAGGTTTTAATAAAATGGGCAAGTGAAATAAATAGTAATGTATTCTTTGATTTTATAAGAGGTACAGAGTTGGTAACTAGAATTTAAAACTCTGTTTCACACTCCGGAGCAGAAGGTGGCGGTAATGCACCTATTTGAGTTGGTGCCAGCCGCCGTTAAAAACCAAGAAGAAGAAGACAACGCATTGCAGTGTGGATGAAAATGACCACAGCACTAATAAAGTCTATCAGTATATTAACGAAACCTATTCGAGGTAAGAAAGAATATAATTCAATAGTGGTAAAAAGTGTCAAAGCACAATTTTCTGTGTTGTTGGCTGTGTGTTGGCTAAATTCAGTCAGTCTCGTCTGGCAGAAGCATTACTCGCTGTCGCATGTTAAGAGAAAAAAATATTGTTAGCTGCTTTCTCATCCTTATGTTTTTCCAAAAGTGTATGACTTTCTTTAGATGTCAGGCAGATTTTTTAGGTAGGTTCTGGCAGACTCGGTTCACTGTTAACTTTCAGTGTATATATATTTTCAATAACTTAACAATTGAATGTTGACTGCCCAACATCTAATTTTCTGCTTCACGGAAGAAAGAAAGTTTTGCAGGTTTGTGTGATGTTTATGTTTTGCACATTTTTTAAATAGTGATTGCATGCACACTCCTTTTTTAGAGGCTCAGCTGTGCGATGGTCATAGCACACAAACAGCACTTGTGTCGGCTCTCCAGAGGAACCTGTCAGAGCTTCAGGAGCACATGTCTAGGGGTGAAGAGCTGGTGGAAGCCCGACAACTTCTGGAGGAGGTCAAAAGAGAGATCACATGGGTGTGCAATGATACGGATGACCTAACCTGGAGCTTTGTCCAGGAATGTCTTCTCTTATTGCTCTGCCTGGCACGTCACCTCAACCGCCTCCTGGAAGCCTTTCACCAGAATCCTACTGCACCAAATTCTGCGACCCCTGAAGCAGCTCCACCGCTTCCTCCAGATGTTCTCAGTGTGGCCCAACAAAAAACACTGGGCACTGTGCTGCAGTTTGTGGTCACACTGGGTCTGTGTCCATATTTAGCTCCTGGGGTAGGAGTGGCTCTGGGGCTGCGCTCAGCTTTCGGGGCAGCAGTGGAGGGGGCAGTCCGACACGATGTGGCACCTGAAGGGGAACGGCGTTTACTTAACACCACTAATGTGCTGCTGGAGGTGTCTGCACTGTCATCCCTAGCAACACCTGTGTTTACACGCCATTTGGGTGACATCATGGCAGCTCTGTGTCAGTTAGCATATCGACCCAAGCGCCCTGAAGGAGATGGTACAAACAGCAATAAGGTAAAAATACACAAATATTGAATCCTTTTTGACCACTTTATCCTATAGTCTCACTTTAGGTCCGGGGTTTCTAAAACCATGGAAAGTCTGGATTTATCAAGGAAATTTAAAATTGTTCCAAGACCGGAAGAGTAATGAAAAAAGTTATGTACAAAAATAATTGTAATAGTTTTAGTTAACCCTGAATTAGAAATATATGTCAATGAACAAAACTTAAAAGAAAGTTAGAAATGTTGACTTAGTTGGCAGATACCTTAAATAAGTTTTTGTTAAAGTACTAAAATGACTAAAACAGAAAAATATCAATAGTAAAGCTAAATAGAAATATAAAAAACTAATAAAAATGGCAAAAGCACATAACAAACTTAAACTTAATCTAAACCAAAAATAAAATTAAACTAAAACTGTCGCAAATCTTTTTGTTAATTGAAATAAAGATTATATAATATAAAAATACAAATATTAGATGAAAAACTGAAATGAAAATGAGAAATGTTGTGTTGGCAACTAATTAAATTAAAGAAGTTTAAGTTGAAGTGCTAAAATGATCAAAACTAAAACTGAAATAAAGATAAATTAAGGCTAAAGAGAAAAAATGCTAATAAAATGAGAAAAGCTCACAAAAATGAATGAAACAAACTGAAAATATAAAAATTAAGGCTAATTCAAAATATAAATAAATACTATAATAGTATATAAATATTACTAAAATAACTGTTAAGAAAAGTTATATTTAAAAAATGATAAAAATATATTTTAAAAAACATCTTAATGCTATAAGAATGATAGGAAGACTCACTGGTATGACATCAAAATTTAAAAAAAGTAGGTTTGTAAGTCCTGTAGGTCACTCTTTCATGTTTCATGTTGGCCAAAGCTAAATGTTTAACCATTTCGGCCTTGCTTATCTACCACAGGGGTTGACGGTAGAGGAGCGCAAGTCCTGCAAAGAAGCACTCCACAATCTTCTTCGGAAAGTGTATCAGCCAATCGTCATCAAAGAGCTGCTTGTTCTGCAAGGGGGTCCTAAACGGGTGTGTTTTGCCCACTATCTTTCTGTTTTCTTTTCTGATGGGTTAGTGTTTGTGTGACTTGATGGAGGCATGTCATGTGTAATCTGTGATTTGCTGTAGGCATCATCAGGTTCCAGAGGTGGAGGCAAGGCTCTAACCCAAGCTCCCACGTGGCTGAGGCGACTGTGTGGACAGTTGCTGTCTGACAGGTTAATGCAACCACAAGGCGTCCAGGCAGTGGTGAGGGCCATCCTAGAGGGGACCGGAGGTAAGGCTGAATTTAGCAGAGATCAGATGGCAAACATGTGAATTTGTCATTTCAACATCTGAAAAGGTGTATGAGGGAATGGAATCAAGTTTACAAGACATTTTACAATAAGTTTTTAGTACAATTCTGGAATGTTTTTGTTTGCTTTATTTGCTATTATTAAGTTAAATGATTAATAAGAGCATTATACCAGCCATTTATTTTGTTACTGACCGCAAAACTTGTTTCAATGCTCGTTCAGTGATGCAAACCAAATATAGTATATTTACAAAAAAATTGTTAAAAATAATAATTTTTTAAAAACATTTAAAATGTCTATAAATGCCCTTTTATTTACTTTTTTTAAAATCATTTATGACTGTTACATATAATTGGTAACCTATTTGTCCTTTATGCCTTGTGCATGATTATAAATACATTTACAAATACATTGCCACCTGTGTTCCTGCTCTGTTTTTTGTTGTCAGTTTTTTTATGAAATGCAATATCCTGGAACTGTTTCCTGTCTCCTCCAACAATTACCCCCAGGGTAGATGCCTGGGGTTAGAATGGATAGAACTAAAAATAGGACTGATGAACTAAAAATAGGACACATGGCAATGAGTGGGCAATTGTGTTTTGCATATTCTGTAAACAGCACAGTGTCAGTAGATTCAGCCAAGTTATGGAATCATAATTTTTTGAATGGTGGTGGAAAACATGTATATTTTCATCCAGTACATAACTAAAAATTCCCAATGTGTTTCCAGTGGATTTATCATGCGATTCAATGTGGCATTCTTTTTTTTTTTTGCCTGTGTTTCACATTTCTGACCATCAGGTGGCGACTCTGACTGGAGGAAATGTGATGCTGTGGCCAAGATACTTGCCGCCTGTCCTCAGCAGTCTCTCTCTGCTCAGAGTTATTACAGTCAAGTGTGTCCACAGGTAAAGTAGTGCATTATTGCCATAATGTGATTTAGAGTTTTGTTTGGTTTGCAAAACATAGTAATAGTCATATAATAACAAAAGTAACAATGTATTGTTATCAGTTTCCTAAAAATCTATGCAGATTGTCTAAGATTGACTCTAATTATGGGATGTAATGTCACTGGATTTAGGTTCTGGAGCTTCTGCATTTCAAAGACAAGCTGACTGCACAGCAGTTCCAGAGAGTGGCCACCAGGGCAGCACTCATCATGGTCCAAGATCGGCCTGAGTTTGCACAGCGATTCCTGCTCTTTCCTCTTCTCTCCCCCCTTCATCACTCTGCAGAGGGAACTGGTTAGTATGTGTGTTAGGAGACTGGTTAAGCATTCTGTAGTGGCTGATTGATATAGGTTGTTATGCTATGACTGAGTGATAAAGCTGCATCAAGTTG